GAGCTGGGGTAGGGATACTGCACACCTGTATCCGAGCCGCAGGTGAGCTGGGGTAGGGATACTGCACACCTGTACCCGAGCCCCAGATGAGCTGGGTAGTGATGCCAACACAGTTTAGTATTGCAAAAGTGATCTGAATGTTTGCAGTTCAGGAGGTTTCTGCATATCTTTTCTAAACATTTAACATGTGGGAAAAGCATTGTATTGACCCTCCAAGAGTTTAAAGTGAATCCTCTCTTCATTCCGTTTTTACTCCCCAGCCTGAGCTGGAGAAATGGTCAGATGGTGCCACCTGCTGGTCATTTATCAGAAGCATGAAAAGCAGCAATTGGACTGTAGGCAACAAGTTTGTTAGAACATTTAAGATCAATTAATTGTAGGATCATTTTAACCCTCTTAGCTGCTCTGAATACATGTATTCTGAAATATGAACCAAAAGATTTCTAGTGAGTGAAAAAGTTCTGTTTCTGCTACTTAGTGATCATGTCTCTGGCGCCCAGAAGACACACGATAACAGCCACACACCCCAGGACATGAAGTCAGAGACGTCATCCAATCCCAGCTCTCCGGAGATCTGTCCCAGCAAGGAGAGGTAAAGGGGTCCCATCTACCTGAATGCAATTCTTCACACAAGCAAACAGTTGTGAAATCTATCAGTACCTTGGTTCTTGTTGTGTTTTGTGTAATTTTTATTGTAACTGTTTCTAGCATGCAAATCGCAATTGATTCTCAAAGTTGATTTAATTAGAAATAGTTCAAGTAGGGAGCTGTGTCAGCATGCGTAGGCCGCAAAGGAACAAGTAAGAGGTTTATTCCAGGCTGAAAAGAGAAGAAAGGAAACACAACGTTTCGGCTGTGGAGCCTTCTTCAGGTGTGACAGTCGAAACATTGTGTTTCCTTTCTTCTCTTTTCAGCATGGAATAAACCTTTGCTTGTTCATTAAAAATATCCATGTATAAAAGATCTTTAGCATCTATGCAGCTGCAGACAAGTGTATCAGTACGCTTCAACTCCAGGTGGTTACGCGCTGATCTATTAAGTGTAGTAAATATTGTCTGTTACACTATCTGAGAGTGATATCCAATTTCAATACAGTAACATTGAATGCTCAGTAACCCAGCAGGATGTTTTCTGGTGAATCGGCTCACTTCAGGCAAACTGTGAGCTTTGCCACAGGGCACTGAAATCTGGCGCAGGGTCCAAACTGGAGAACCATCTCAGTGATAATGACAGGGCTCAGATAGTGAGGCAGCAGCCCAGCGAGCTCACTCAAACGGATCTTTTTATCATTGCTTTTATTTTGTTCTTTTCTTATTGTTACTGCTCCTAGTCCTCAGTGTCCCTCTTCCCAGTGTTCACGTACATAATTTAGGATTGTTTTCTGCATTGCCTGTTGTCTCTGTCTTTCTTTTCTTATACAATTCTATTGTTGTTGTTGTTGTTGTTTTTTTGTACTGCTTACCATCTGAGAGCTAGCTAAATAGCATTTTGTTATACCATATACCTGTATATGAGTATGATGAGAATAAACTTGAACTTGAACTTGATATAGCGCCCCCTACCCTGAAATTACCCATGACCACAGTCCGCCGCTCCACAGCATGCATTTTTCACCCCACTGGGACGGGGACCTGTGCTCTGGCCTGTGGCTGTGCAGCCCCATCACCGGGCCCCCCTGCTCAGGGTGTGTTCTGTCCCCACAGGCCGTTCATCAAGCTGAAGGACTGCAGCCGCGCCAACATCTCGCGCTCCTCGTCCAGCACCAGCAGCTTCAGCAGCACGGCGGGGGAGAGCGAGGCGCTGGAGGAGCTGGACAGCACCGTGAGTCCCGCAGACTGGACCGACATCCATCAGACACACCGCACACCCTTCCTGCCCGGGCTTGCTAATAGACCTGAAGATGTCTTTCCTAAATCTGATCAGTCGGTAGCTTTGCCCGGATACGGTATCAGCAGATGAAACAATTTCGAACCATTTTTCCCAGAGTTCTCATGTATAGACCCTGGTGATGGAGTGTGCGCCAGGTGACTGACCTCTGACCTTGCTCCCCCTCTTCCCCACAGAGCAGCCAGCCCTCCACAGCCTCGCCGTTCCGCGGGGACCAGTTTGTGTACAGCCCGTCTCTGAGCGGCGACAGCCAGGGACCCACCACTCCCGTCATCATGAGCCGCAGCCCCACAGGTACGCAGCCCTGCAGCAGTGACAGCTGTACCGGCAGCACTTCCTGTCGCTGACCACAGTACCATGCTTCTTATCTAATGCACCTATTACTACAATATCCCAATATTCCTTCTCACAAAAAGTAAAACATTATAACAGGAAATACGGTTACACATCGCAATGGCACATTGTAAGGTTTTTAACAGATGTTTAAAAACAGTTTAAAGCCAGGCTGTGGGTCAGACGTGAGGTTAGGGTTGCGGTCAGCTGGACACAGCAGAAATCTGACTGTAATGACAGCTGGGCATCCGATGCTTTCATTGAGAGTATATTGGATTTCTTGCATCAGTATAGTTTTGGCCAAATTGATAGTATTGATTACAGTTATTGATACTGACCGTTTGGACATGCTCATCTCTGTATTTGTGTTTGAAAAGTAGATGTGAAAAGCAAGACATCACCAAGATCCAACCTGAAGTTTCGCTTCGACAAGCTGAGCCACTCGAGTGCAGTAAGTACAGCTCTCTCAGCACGGCCAGCTGCCCGTTCACCTGTTTCCTGTGTGTGGAGCTGACTTCCTGTTCTCTGCGCAGGGTCACTAGTGGACTGTGAGAGGAGCTGTGTCAGAGGAGAACCAGGTGAGTTTCTCTGCGTACTGCCAGTGCAGCTCATCGACACACAGGAAGCTCTTCCTCAAACAACATCAGCACACTGAGCAAGAACACCTTTATTTCCTATTGCCAGGCTTTTCTTCCTTTTTTTGCCTACGCTGGCCTTGCAGCTTTCGCCTACATGCAGGCGTCTGGTGCCAGAATCTGGACGGCAGGGCTCAACCTGCACTGCAGACAAGCGCATTCACTGGCTGAGCAGCTCGGGAGCGTTTACAAACACCACGTGAAACCATCAGATATACAGGCGGATCCCTGCTGTCCCATTCTGCCTCTGATATGTTTGTGCCTTACGATAAAGAATGTGAGCCTGGAATAAAAAGACGTGGTCTTATTCTACTGACTGTGGACAAGACAGGTATTTTTTGTACAGTAACTGGAGCTCCTGCATACATTTAGAGAGGAAGCTGATACTGCCGACGCCCACAAGTCTCTTGATCACTAGGGTTTAAATCTGTACGCAACTTTCCTCCTCGGTGTTCTGTGCTCAAGGGCTCCTCCACCTGCCCCCCCCCCCGATCCTCTGGCTAGTTTTGTTGGGGGAGGGGGGAGGTGCCTGTCTCGTCCACGAGGCCAGGCTCTCAGCCCTCAAGCCCAAACACTTGATCTTGGACCTTTGTGTCATCCACACAAACATGTTTCGCTTCGGTGACTTGTCTGCCCCTGAAGCTTTCATTTCCCTCCTCCCAGTCAGATGAACCCCGAAGGGGCCAGCTGAGGTTGAGGAAGCCGTGGAAAGGATTGTCGCCTCCTGCAGCCCTGGCGACTCCTGCCAGGCTCTTCCCGAAAACGTCTTCTTCCCCGTACAGTGGGGAGCGGGAGAGATGTGGGACAATGCTGGACCAGAAGAACGAAGATGAGCCCTTTTTTCCCTGTCCCCCAGACACTACGGCCTCAGCATGGCGACACGAGCGAGTTTCGCGCCATGGCTTCATCGTGACATAACCTCAACGCTTCATACAAGCTAAATATATGTAGTCCCTGTAGAATATAAAAGCCCAGTCCGCAGTGCCTGTTGTTCCCTGCTAACACCCAGCAGGCTTGTTCTGGGTTTTATACTGTGACTTATCTAGCTGTGCAACACGATGTCCCAATCGTCACTGAAAATGCTGAAGGGACCCCATGCAAAGCATCCCCTTTCTGTAAAAGCGAACTCACTTGATTTTGTGATTATATGGCAGCTAAAAATGTGTTCCTTATCAGGCTTTGTTCAATAGTAGGGATTCCCTGTTGTTATTACAGACTTAATACTTAACACTACATCCTCTCAGTGACAGGAGCTGTTGCACAGAGGATGAAGGGTCAGTCCTGAACTCGAGTGATGGTTATCCCAGCTGACATTTATTGTGAGAATTGTGTCCTGTGCAGCTAGGAGTATTTTAGCTAGATTAAGTTGTACAATCTTGGGAATGTTATTGGGATTGTGTTTCTTGATTTGGTTTGGAAAATGTTTAGGGCTGTGTTTCTGTGCATAGCCCTGTTGATCTCCTGTGAGCCAGATCTCACACTGCACCAAATCAGTCTCAAATCAACGCGCCCAATTAAGTTACAATACCACAGAGTTTGCCAGCTACACCAACACCCCCCGACTTCAGACGTTTCCTTAAATGATCAAACTGAAGACCTCCAAGAATGTAATAAGTGAACAGCTGTAATTAGCAGGGCTTCAATTAAGTAAAGCAAGAAGTTCTTAGCGACCGAAAACTATGATTCCCAGTTCTAGGAATTCACTACCTGCAGGGGCTTTTTTGTCCTCAAGAGCCGAGGAAAAAAACTCTAGAGTTGGGTAAGTCTGATTCATCCTCACCTCTGACATGTGAGTGCAGGGTCTGGCCAAATTCTCCCTGACCAGTGAGGTGTGGCTGTTGCAGCACCAGCGCCACTGGGTTTGAGTGGGCCTGATCTTGGGCCTGCCCCAGTACCTTGGAAAGCCTCATAGAGACCGAGGGGGCCAGCTCACAGATTGCACTAGTGCCTGTGAGCTAGTGGTGCTGTCAGCAAGAGTCACATTGCCATCCTGTAAGCCACTGGCACTGCCCTTCTTTCTGCTAGGCTAGTCCAGCTGCAGTTCGGGTGAATCAGCAAAGGACATTTGTCAATTGCTAAATAGTGGCGCATAAAATTATAGAACAATATTTGTTTGCCAGATGAAAAAGGGGAAACATGATTGGGAGTTGCATTCCAGTAGAGTGGAGTTTGTCATGTCAGCACGGACATCTGTGCCGAGCTGGGGTCTCTGAGAGCGCAGGGCACACCGCCTGCTGTGGGCCAGACCCAAAACTCTATTCGTTCTGAAAACGTGCCAGGACACCTGTGATACCTGCCTGCTGCTGCTGAAACTGTGAATCAGGGCCTGTTAACCTGCCTGTGGTTTCTGGAGGCAGAGCCCTTTTCTCCAATGGACTGGACTCTCAGGAGGCCATGTGCCAGAATTCTGCTGTACAATTAAATACACAAACGCGAGGCCACTTAGATTGACGTCACTCGTCCGCTGCAAATCTGTTTTAACGATTCTCAGTAACTTTTTCACACTAAAGTTCGCCAATGCCATCACAGCTAGCCAGGCGTGCAGCAGTTTGTAATGTCTGCCCTGTAAGTGACTATCTGTACCCTGTTCAGGAAACTGTTGTCAAGTGCTCAGTATCCCACAGGCCACCGTCCTGCTTCCAGCTGTGCTGGGGCTCTGCTGCTCTCCGGCACTGTTTTAACTGGGCCCTCTTATGGGCCTGCTGGCTGTAAAGATGCTGGCTGTGAAAGGATGAGTAGTTTATAGCCAGGTGCGGCGATATAGTTATCCTCAGATGTCTGTGATTATCATTTTTTCACAGTGTTCAATACTTGAGTCTATTCCGTGACCTGTGGGAGCACATCCCTGGGTGTTCGAGGACTCAGGTTTCTGTTCATGCAATCTGACAATACAGTAGATTTCCCACTGATGGTGCACAGCAGTGTTACTGAAAGGCCCACAGGACCACCAGGAGTCTCTTTCTGCAGATCGGTCACACAGGGTAGTGGGGGCAAAGAGTTCCTTCGAGACAGAGCTGACTGCACGCGAACTAGGAAGCGAGAATTCGGACTGCTAGGCCAGAGAAAGATCGGAAAATTCGCTTCACAGCTGCTGAAAAGTACAATTCCTGCAGCGCCTTCATACCTTGAACCACAGTAGTCAAGAGTGCAATATAAGATTCAAACATCAAGTGGAGATACTGTATTTTATCACCAGAGGCTGTATTAAATCCATATAAGTGGATTCATATGTGCATTCCCGGGAAAGCGCTAATCCTAACGTGAAGGCTGTCAGTGCCAGTCCAGTTCAGAGCGGTTCCCCTTCTGGTTCTCCAAGCCCGTTCTGATCCACTCCTCGCCGATCTGTGGGATAGCAGGTCCCCAGGAGGGAAGGGGAAGAGTGTGCTGGATGTGATCTTTCGTCTTTCAGCCTCCAGACGGTGCTCGAGAAACCCTCCACACCTAATATGATGTACAGTATATCGCCAAGATTTAATTTATTGCCATTTTAGCAGATTGCCTTCTATGTTCATTGTGATGTATAAAATGGAGGGAATTATTAAATTAAGGAATTTAAGAGAGAATCATGTATATGTATATTTGGTATTATGTAATGTGCCCATGCGAAATTTGCTATGAAATAAAATGTATTTTGTGTCAACGCTGTGAGTGTGGCTCTTTTGTGGAACTGGATCCCAAAGCTTAAATAAATGCACATACAAGCACCGAACACAGTTTCACATTTACAGCTGCTTTTACTGCCACAGAAATGAAACTTACACCCCCCCCCCGAAACACGAAATCAAAAACCGGTTTTGTCGCACAGGGCTGAGAGTTTGCATTCAGAGAAACAGAGGGGTGGCTTCGATGAATGACCCGGTTTTTAAAGTCCTTCTTCTTCCGAGACTGATTGGTCATTTCGGCAACACGTGCATCATAAAGGGACCAGCGTCTCAAACAGTGGAACAGCAGGGTGGCAACAGACCCGGCTGTT